CTTAAAGACGCCGTTTTAAAACTTACGAGAATAATTAATTGTGATTGGTCAGTTTCTTTACTGCTTACGTTCATTTGTGTGTGATGGCCTTGACACGTCGAACTCGATTAATGTACTCCCTAGCCTCTCTATAGTTTAATAAAGAATAATATTATTAACTATTCCATTACTTCGTATTGTAAGTGGTGTCTTTTCAAATATTTTCATAAATTTAGGAACTGAACCAGAGTTAGGATAAGTCCGGGATAGATGGGCACAGGGGATAAATGGTCAATTGCTATCATTTTGTTAATATATGCTAGGCGTCAGCGCTGATCGGTCAGTTGTGAGTTGGATGTACCATGAGTAAGTATGTTTCATCCCGATGCCCAGAAATATTGCTATTGTGAGTAAATAAATATTTTGTGTTTCTAGTAACCTCCAAAATGTTTCACTTGTCGGAATAATAACTTGCGAATATGGTTTATTTTGAGCTACAACATTAAACCTGGGCTTGAACGACTGAAAACATCGTATTTAACTTAAAATTCATTACCGAGATGATATATACCCAACTATCCCTTGACATATGACCATCTAATCTGGACATCTGATCATCTGTCCCTCACAGATTAATATTTCGTTATTATTGGCGTCCCATGAACTTTTCTTCACAAAAACTCTTCTGTTAAACATTATCCTCTACTAAATTAATATGTTGTTGACCATTTCTCGTATTAATACAGATGTGTTATTTGCAATTAAAAAAACAATGTCCATCTATCCCGGACTTATCCTGTCGATCAAGAGATTCTGCGTCTTATTAGTCCTACGGATGACGTACAGTCCGTTTATTAAGAGCGCGAACAACCTAACTTTTAAGCTATTTATTATAAAAAAATAAAAAAAATTACGTATGTACTACTCAGTCAGTAATATTACGCTTTTATATTAATAGGTCGTTCAATCACCCGTCATTGTCAATTATTGCCTAACATTTTCCGGGCATACTTTCTATCAATTTTTCAGCATATTGTCGAGATAAAGATGTCGCCATATCAAATGCAATTGTCAAGATAGTTGTTTCACCGCATATATTTTTCTTCCACGCAATTTCATTTTCATTAATCTCCAAATATTTTCAATAAGATTTGCATCTGGTGATTGTGACAGCCAGTCTAATGTTTCGATATTATTTTCTTCCTTCCATTGACAGCAGAGACGATTCCAATATTTTGGATTGTTGTCTTCTTGCAAAATCCAGTCTTGATTTTTGCCTGGAAATCACTTTTCAGCAGATGGTATTAATGCTCTCTGATAAATTTTAACCATCTTTTCCGCATCCAAATTCCCTCTAAAAAAAGATAAAGTTGCAAATCCTTGGTTGGAAGAGCAGTCCCAGACATACACCTTTACCGGGTGTTTCATGGCTCATTAGATAAGTTTGTTTATGGAAATAGACCAAGTTTGACTGACAGTATTGCGTGTCTAAAAAGAGGATTCATCGGAACAAATAACCGTCGAGATGAAAACTTCATTATGAAAATGAGTGATATTGAGAAAGCAGCATGGCTCAGTTTCAAAAAGGTTGCTCAGAATTTCTTAGGGAATCACAAAAGTGAGGATTACGAAAATCTAGTCGCGGAAATGTTGGACAATTTCAAACAGTTGGGTTGTTTGATGAATTTGAAATCGTATTTTCTACACTCTCACCTCGACTACTTCCCTGAAAATCTTGGAGATTATAGCGAAGAGCAAGGTGAACGATTTCACTAGGATGTAAAAGAAATGGAGCGTCGCTATCAAGGAAGGTGGGATGTAAACACGATGGTAGATTTTTGTTGGATGTTGAAAAGAGAGACTAGAACGAAAGAGAAAAAGGAAAGAAAAACCCACTGCATAGATCGTTTGAAGATAAAAGAGTTCGTTACAAAAGAAAAAAGGAGGACTAGAAATATCTTTTTTTATCTGGAAAAAATCAAATTTTTACGGCATTTTTTCTATTTTTGCAGAATTTGAGGGCAATGGAGCAATTCTGACACCGGACTCGTTTTCAGTGGGTTTAAATACACAAGGATATTGTGTTGTAGTCCGTTTTCAGGACTCCGTCTAATGGTGACCTTTAATGGAATGGAGTTTTGACGGATTTTTTGGAATTTTAAGGCATTTTTCGCGGTTTTATAAAACCTGGAGGGTGATGGAACAATTTCAATATCGGATTCATGTTCAGCGGGCCAAAATACTTTGGGGTAAAGTGGATCTGATCAAAATAACAGACCACTTTTTTTTGTGTGCCTGTGTAATCGTTTGCTCACGTGAGGATCATGCGTCAGTTGACGCACCGCGCGATATTATTTGTCACGATTGTATACAAATAAACATCGAACGCACGTGCGTCGGTTTGCGAACGAACGTGGAAGGACAATCGCAACACATTTGAAACTTGCGTTTTTCTTTTCTCTCTCTTTCAGCCCAACGTCTATCGAGATAAATTAAAAGCCTCTCGTTAGGCTCAGGGAGAAACATTCTGATTTCTCATTTTTGCGGTTTTAGTTCAGACACTCTGATTTTCTCATTTTGCGATTTTAGTTCAGACTAATTTTCTCTTTGCGGCTTTAGTTGTAGACACTCTTTCTCGTTTGCGTCTTGATTGTAGAGTATACGTTTCTTTTCTCGTCGGTATTCGCAATCTCTCTATATCTTTTCAAAGTTCACTCTCCGTCCGAGAATTGCTTGTATTGCCGATTCAATTTAAATCAACTGTATCATTTTCTGTCTGCAAATTTGTGCGTCGTACGACTATGTCCAAATTGTATCCGGTTAATGTTATAATAAACTATTAATTTAAGCTTTATTTCTTAAAGCGCATTTTCTTTTCTCTCGCCTGTTCTTTTCGCTATTTCTCATCATTCGCGCCTCGCGTCCAATTCGTGAACGGTTCCGGCATTCGGGCTTATTAACATAAAATATGCTGAACATACTCTTGCTCCAACTGGGACTAACTCAGCAGTTAGTCCCAGTATATCGCACCATTGCTTTTTCCTTTTTTCATTTTTTTGGAAATCTGTAAAATAATTACTTACATGTGTTACTTTGTTATATTATTAATGTCTTATATTAATAACAGAATATAGTTATTATACAGAGTGTATAAAAAGTATCAGGACGATGAAGTATCACAAAAACTAAACATTTTAGAAAAAAATGTTTCAGATAAAAATTATAGGGCTCCAAAAGATCTATTTACTGACATTATAAATTTAACCTTGAGTGGCGTCGCGAAGATCAGGACAAGGTCACTTTGAATTTTTTAAATAGGACCCTCTATTTTTTATTGCATATTCTTATAGCCCTTCTTCAGACCTTTTCAAAGCATTATATTTTTTCCACTTTGAGTAAGCCGTTTCGAAGTTATCGAACTTTTTATGATAAGATGTCCAGCCAACCAAGGCAAGATCAAAGAAGTATCCAGCCAGCCAAGGCAAGATCAAAGAAATATCCAGCCAGCCAAGGCAAGATCAAAGAAGTATCCAACCAGCTAAGGCAAGATGATCATAAAAGAAAACTAGCAATTGAAAGCGCGATTAATGTATCAAATGCTCAAATTGTTCACCATTCATTGCTTGACAATACGCTAATCGATGATAAAAACCTGAAACAGCATCTTCTATGCATTCATTAGGTATAAAGTATCATTAGGTATTATTTTGAAACGAATGAATAACTATCAGCAACACTTTAAAATAGACTAAATGGAAAAAAATGTACAGAAATAAACAAAATAAAAATTGAGGAAATCCTTACAAAAGTGTTTGAGAGTAACGTTAATCTTTAAAAGAAAAAGTAAAGTCTAACGAATAAGTTAGGAAATAAAAAGATTTATCCAATAAACAGAAATTTGTATTAATTAGATAACAAAATCGATGAAAAAAAAGTAATAAAATGCATTATTTAGTGCTCGAAAAATAAGAAAATGACTTCAAGATAGGTGGTCAATATATCGACCATCATGTCGCAAAAAGTTAAAACGAAAAAAACGTTTTTTTTTTAGAATAAATTCGTTTCTGAAAAAAAATCTTTCATAAACATATTATTTTTTCACAAAAATTTATGTTTTTGAGGTCGCTGAATACTAATCCGGTATCAGATTTAGATAAAATAAAGTATTTTTTGTATTTTTTGGATAAAATAAAGTATTTTTATAAACAACCCTGACTGCACCGTACATTGCAAGCACGTCGCTACAACGTAATGACGTCACAGCGACGTGCTGCCACGTTCTTGCCACGTCTGTGCAGACAGGGAAAATATTGAAGATAAATTTCGAAAATTTGTAGAATTGCGTTGAAAAGTTGATATTCTAAGTATTGCTTGTCTACAAAGAAGAAGTTTTCTATATTATATTTATCATTTTGAAGTCGCTGATTACGAATCCGTTGATAAATTTTTGTTATATTAGTATTTTTCATGATATAAACAAAATATTGAAGAGAAACACAAAAATTGTGAAATAATGGAATATGTGCAGATAGTTCGAAAATTTGTCGAATATTTCGCTAATAATTTATTCATTATTATTCCGACGAATAATGATTTCTTTTGCAAAGAAAACGACACATGTTTCTATATAAATTTGGATATGCTAAACACGAATTTGCTATTAGAATTGACCTAGGAATTCAATCTTCTCAGTGAATAATTTTTATACGGATTCGTCAACTAAATATCCTTTCAAGCTGTCATATTGCGTCTTCCATCCTGGATCGCATTTTTTCAAAATTTTGATGGCAGATTTGAACTCAGCGACCCTAAAGATATATAGAATCATGATTTTTGTGAGAATTCGACCACTTATTTAATTGCGTGACTCAAAGGGCTAAAATTATTTTTTAAGCATTTTAAGTGTGTATCTTTGGATATAAATAAATTTCTCTCGTCAATACGTGTACATACACATGTACAGTTTATCAGCGAACTTAGATTTCCTATTACGTTTTCTGAACCCCGAACGTTCCGCGCATGTCAAACGTCAGTTGATTCATCTGCTACGACTATTATTGCTTAACGTGTCTTTTATACACGCTCGCTGTTCGCATCCAAAATACGATGATCCGGCTAGTTTTCGCTTTGCTGATTTGTGTATTTGTGACGGCAAGCTTTGTGGACACGCGGTTGATTAGAAGCGATTTGCATGGTATCGTAAAATACTTCTAATATTCTTATAGTATTATCCGTTACATTTCTAACCTAGAATCTGTAGTTGGTGACTATGTTCGCGTATAGTATTCTTCTATGAACTTTTGTGTCTTTGTCAAATGAATTAATTATATAAATCACGTCATCAAAATTCATATGATTAAGCCTTTGTTGTGTATGTCTTTTCTTGAAACATTATATCAATTAATTATTTGTTTTCTTTTTGTAAATAACTTTGAATCCACATTCTAGCAACTTGATTATTTTGTTGTATTAATTGTAGAGGATTACAATGATTACAACAATGTGCAGCAGAAGATGGTGAATGAAAATAGAAGGCTGTTTGACCAAACATATTTAATGAACATTAAGGAGAACCGTAGGAATACTAATGACGACTTTGAGAATTGGACTGGACGTTGGATGCCTGATAGATTAGGTGATCCAACACCACCACCTAAAGTATACCCATATAGTGAGCAAGAACATGATAAATTTATGTCAAGAAGTCATGATATATATATGGGTTATGTATCACCAAACTGTGATGATGCAAAGGTTGATATTGTAGCTTGTTATATTTGTAGAATAAAAATTCGATATAGCTTTCTATATCTATATAATAACAATTTTATGTTAAAATAATGCTAAATTAAATAAGATATCTTCAATGAAAGTATAGAATGTGTGGAACAGTGACATGATTTCAGACCAATTTGACTGTTGATTGGGATCATTCTGTATCAGCGCAAACTTGTTATGGTCATCATATCGAACCAAGTGGGAAGGCCTCACAAGTCTATTGTGAATACATTCCAAAAGCGTATGAGGTAAAAGCATCTATATTGTTATTATCAATCCAATCCCACTAGAACTTTACACCTATTGAGTGCAAATTTTAATCAAAGTATCTTGCAGGCTGCCCATAAATGCATGAATGAGACAATCGAGTATGATGATGATATACCTTTGTAGTAAGTAAATTGCATTTTCCAATTATAATTGTCACGAACAGTTTCCAATAATATTAATACGTGGCTTGCAGTGGTCCACATAGACCTTTATGGCCAGTTTACGGAGAATACATGTACCTGCCCAAACAGAGATGGCTGCACAGTCTCGAGGTAAGACTGTCGCGCTGCTTTATCGGAAAATGTAAATTTGAACTGTCGTCTGTATCGATTATTTCGCTATTAACAGCACGGAGCGGTCGTCATGTTGTACCATCCGTGCGCGAATCCGCTGGAGGTAAACCGCCTAAAAAGTCTCGTCAGTCGGTGTCTTTGGCGACATATTATCACACCGTGCAGCAATCTGGATGAGGACTATGTGAGTGCGCGAACGCGTGGATTTCCGCATCTACTGCACTATTTCCCACAACTTCGGATAGCAACGATTATTCCTCTGTTTCAGCCTTTGGCACTTCTATCTTGGGGCTGCAAGCTGTCTATGTCTTACGTGAATCCCGCGGTGGTGAGGCGCTTTATACAGACAAAAGCTCTCCGTGGGCCGGAGCGAACTTCGAAAGACGGCCAATTCACGGACGCGTTATTGAAAGCATCCGATATAGTTACAGATCCAACGGACTCGTATCTTTGTCCGTGAATATATTAGGCGAATGCGAACGGCACAACATCGACCGATGTGATTTTCCAGAATTTACAATTTACTCAGAATTTACTCAGGCGCATTTATGTTTATATTGCATGTATTTTTGTATTTGCGTGTTTATATATTTTTTCATGACTTGTGTGTATAGTCAATCATTTTTTTATCAGTTGTACGTTACGTTTAACTAGCGTAGTAATTATTTATTGTAATTATTGTAAAATATTCTAGTGACGAACGGATTTGTTTTCTAAGTAGCATGTAACGATATGTATCTTTCACTAAAGTATCAAATACAATAAATTATTGATGATACAAGAGCGTGTTCTCTTTCATTCTCGTAATGATCGCGACTCGCGCTCAGCTTCTCGCGTTCGTAAGAAAGAAGGATCGAGGGACATGATGAGAGGATTCAAGAATTCCGACCACACCTTTCTTTTATTTTTTCCCTATATATTCATATATTCTTCACCCTTCGAGAAGATCATTAAATACATTGAACATCGTGTCGGTTTTTTGAATTCTCCTTGCGGACCGCTTATCTACAGATGTATAGTAACTTCACTGCAGTGCTGATTATAATCTTTATTCTTGCGGATACTTATCTCCAATGATATATAAAATTAAGAGTTAAGACAAGTGACGCTATATACTGTTGTTATCGGTAATGCAAAATATGCTACTCGACTACTCAATCGTAAGTCGTTAACGTAAAAGAATATAATTGTACAGTGAACGCTTGACTTCTCCTTCTCTCGCTCTTGTTCTTTGTTCTCCTTATTTTTCTCCTTTGTCGCTTTCGCGGATGAGCGGTGGATATCGAGAGTCGTTATTCTTACATCGTCGATGTTTCTTGAGTGCGACACGAGCGGATGCCTGCGGTTCGCGCCGGAAGGAGCAGGAGATCGCTTCCCGCCTAAGGGGCTTTCACGGCAATGTATTGTTATTTATTTATATATACGCCGGTCAACACAAACTCTCTTCAGCGAGACGTCGTTAAGATAATATTATATCGAGCGTCTGGACACGCGGCGGATGTCCTCGACTACGTCAATTGCGCCTCAGTCGTGCGTTTACGCGCTTCGCGATTATATGCCGGTCACTTTCCGCGCGCCGCTCAATTTACCACAGAAATGTATGTAACTTTAGGTATTTTTCCTCTTATATTATATTTCCCACTCGGCTGCCTCTCGGGCTTCTCTCTATCATTCGAGAGCGCGTCGCTCTACAGCCGCGAGCGACCTCGAGGCCGGAGAATTGCTCTTCCTGGTGCGAGCCGCCGCCCCCGAGTCTCGTTGGTCGAATGAACGCATTTTCTTTCCTCTTTGAATTTTTCTTTCCTCCTCATTACTTTTCGTGACGCGATCCTTCCGACTGCGTTCGACAAGGTCGCGGGCGCGCATCGCGCATCGCGATGGATCTTCTCTCGCTGGCGACCTACAAGCTGTTCGCTTTGCGAAAGCCCTGCTCCGTGAGCAAAAGACAAAGAGCGAACTTCATTTCCCTCTCTCTCATTCGCACGAGCCAGCGTGACAAGATCGGCGCTGCGAGACGATGTCCTCGAAGGCGGCCGAAACGTTCTCGTGTCGGACGTCTGATTAGAGGCCTGCTACTGCTACGCTCATCGAGAGATGGTTTTTCTCTTGTTTTGTGCTTGATTACACGACGAAAGGGCACATTCACTTGATCACATATTATCTCTACTCGCAGAATTGATCGCCGCCACACCCGAACGAGCAACGCGGAGAACAGCCGCGCGCCTGGCCTCTCACAGACGTCGCTTAACTTTAAGCGTAATCTATATCCGATCCCTCGCCCCCCTCTGCCCCCTTCTAACTTATAGTTGTTAGCGCGAGAAACAGACAGACAATTACTTAAACTACAGTAAAAATTAATCGACGTGTTCTTGCTCTAACGAGAGAGTGCAAGGATTGAGATTCCGTTCGATCGGCGAGTGGTCGTACGTCAAGAGAAAGCTTCTTCGCGAATCAAAGTGGTAATCGTGTAATTGACATCTGCATAATTTTTCAGATTCATATTTCTAGGATTCATCAGATTGGGCTGAAGTGCAGTTAGACTATCCGTAAGAAGAGCGCACGAGAAGAACGATACATGCATCATCGTTTAGCAAGATTGTAATATCGCGAGGAAGAGCGAGGAATTGCACGCGATGTGTGGCCTCGCCTCGAAGTTAAAATTTAGACGCTCATCTTCGCTCGTTATTACCTTTTAATTGTTATCCTTTAATTATCACTACGCTGCACTTCGTCTGTGTTTCTATTCTGCGTTTTCGTCGGACATGTGTCGATCGTTTGAGCGCGACATTCACATCACTCGTGAATCGAACGTTTTCGGGACGCTACTCGCACGTTGCCTGGACGTTCGCGTTGTCCTAGGGTGTCGTCGACCTCGCTCTCTCAGACTCGTAGGGCTATCTTGGCTACAGGACCGAAAGGGAATGATCGTTCGGGGTCGACGAGGTGGAGTCGTTGCGCCTCGCTCGTCCCCGAGCAAACGAACGAACGATTACACGAGAAGGTGTTTAAAGGGAATCTCTTAAGATTATTGCCAACTTTGTACAGTGTCAATGATGATAATAATAATAATAATAATAGTAATAGTAATAGTAGTAGTAGCAGTAGTAGTTAGTAGTTAATAATAGTAGTGGTGATAGTAGTAGTAGTAGTAATAGTTGTAATAATAGGAAATCGTGTTAGAGACAAAAACGCAAGGATGCCTGATTAGTCATCGTCTGTCTGCTATTTTTCTCCGTCTTAACGCTTCGTTATTTTTCGGTTATCATTTTCTGATTTTTCGATAATTATTAGATAATTTCTCGCACGCGCGCACGGAGAATTACAATGCTCGCATGACGACGACGATAACGACGACAATGACAACGACGACGACGACGACGACGACGACGACGACGACGACGGCGACGACGACGACGACAGCGACGGCGACGGCGACGGCGACGACGACGGCGACGGCGACGACGACGACGACGACGGCGACGGCGACGGCGACGGCGACGACGACGGCGACGACGACGACGATGATGACGGCAATACGCAGAAGTGTGGGCGCGAGACGCCGGATAATAATACGCATAGGCAGAGAATAAACGCCGTTTTTTGAATGTTTTTTTTTTGTTACTTTTCCCTCGATAAGTATTCTCGTATTCATTAAATGCGGTATTTCTTTTTTAATTATTATTATCATTATTTTTATGAATCTCACCTATGAAATACCTACGATAAAAAGTATCCGTTATCTCTGTTACATTTTGCACATGCTACGGTTTAGGTTCTGTCTTTTTTTTTCATTTTTTTTTCCTTTTTAATTTAACGCATCTTTTTCACTGTTTCTTTACTCACGCGCGCATGCGCTCACACTCGCACACAATACACATACCATGCGCTCACTCACATTCATAAGATGCACACCTATACTTTTTCTCTCTTTCATTCTCTTTCTCTCCCTCTCTCACCCCTTTCTTTCCTAATGGCTTTTCTGTCGATTCTATTTCTCGATTTCGATAAATTAAGTTTATCAGTAATCTCACTTTGTCGCGTGTCGGCGGGATACGCGTGCGACCTTTATTTTTTTTTTCTTTATGTTAAACCGCTTGAGATTCTTCTCTCCTGTCATCATTCAACGCCGCATCATACCTTTCTCCCACTTGCTTCCTCCCTCTCTCTCTCTCTCTCTCTCTCTCTCTCTCTCTCTCTCTCTCTCTCTCTCTTTCTCTCTCTCTCTCTCTCTCGCCCCGTTTTTTTCTAATTCTTTTCTCTTAAAACTCTCGCGAAATTACGATTTACACTTAAAAGTGGAATTGACACTCATAAGGTTATTGAAGTAGCCTTTCGTATTAATAATTGCACCGACATATGACCGACGTACCGATTCGCGAGTTCGCGCACTTGATCGCGAACATGTTTCCTTCTCTCTTCTTCTCCCTTGCTTCTTCATATTTCCTCTCCTTTTCCCCCTCGTTTCTATCTCTATCACTTATTTATATATCCGAAAGTCGGATCGCGTGTCCGAGGAGATCCCTATATAGATCGATCCGTTTCGCAATTTTTCTATCCTACTCTACGTACAAATGTAATGGAATTAGCGTATTCAATGATTAACGATGTCTTTTTTCCTTCTTCTCTTCTCTCTCTCTCTCTCTCTCTCTCTCTCTCGCTATTCGAACTGCCGCGAAATATATTTCGGTTAATCGCGGCGGGTAAATATACGATATATCGAGAACACGGCAATATTGTGTGTCCGGCCTTGTCGTTCATTATGTTTCTCTTTATAGTTCTCGTCCGTCGAGGCGTTCGCTGCGCTTCACCTTCTTCTGTTTGTTCTTTCCTTTCTGCCAGATCGCCGCTGTTATTCGCGGCTTGGAAAGAGCAGGGCACGCTCGAGCCGAGGAGAACACGGATTTTCAAGGAAGACGGGTCAGCTTCCGCAATGAGCTACCTAAAAGTTCGAGACACTCGCGCGAGGGAAACGCTGTCGCGCAAAGTACGGGCGTATCGAAACCCAACGATGTCCCCGATGCGCGATTCTAACGAGCGACAGAACGACCGAATGTGCTTTGTTCCGTGATTGTGTGTGCTTCCTTGCGTCTTATGACAAGTGACAACGATGCGCGATCAGACGAAATGGTGAGTGCGTGAAGGAAAATCGTGGGGAAAGACCCGGCGGAGACTGAGACGTGCGGACACGAAAGCGACGTAAAGACATTCAGAGACTATTGTTAATAGAGAGACAATCAAGAGACGCATCCAGACGTTCAGCCGCGCTCTCGCTGACGACGACGACGACGACGACGGGGATGAACGTCGTGGATGGACGGCTAGATTGATCGTTAATTAACGAGAAGACGCGACGTTCCCTACATCTTTAGGCCAGATTCGTTTAACTTACAATCAACTTACAGGCTGCCACGCATCGAATAAACTATAACGTTACTCGTCTAAAATTCTCTCTCTCTCTCTCTCTCTCCTCCACACATACACACACATATACACATTCTCTCTCTCTCTCTCTCTCTCTCTCTCTCTCTCTCACTCTCATTCTCACTCTCCCTTATTCTCGCGATCTAGTGATAAGAAATTGACGACACTTGGTTTTTCTCAATTTCTATCACGAAGAGTCCGCTACGAGAAGCTAAGTTACAAGATTCGCAGTTGCGGACAGCAGTCCGCGCTGATCGTGGTCCTCCGCGAGAGGGCGTTT